AAGATCCACAAATAAAACGTGGATCAATTTCTTCCATATTTTTCATCTCTGAATCAGATTGAGCTGTCGATTGGAATTTTTCTGGCACCAGTGAATCACAATGAGAAGAATTTGATCGTTTAGACTGAAGACGTTCCATAACTGACATAGTTGTATCATTTATTGCTTGCCTATCAATGGATCTTGATGAACTAAGTGCCATACTAATTTCAGTATTTTGCAATTGTTTTTCCAAATCACGTTCAAGATAAAACTGTAGTTTATTATGCTTAAACTGAAAACGATTTTGATCACGTTCTAAAGTATCATTGTTATCATAATATGCATAAATGCGAATTTGACTGGATTTGCCAACAGGATCTTCTAATATTTCCTTTAAATTTTCCCCAGGTATATGCAAATCAAATGTATCTGTTTGACCAAGATTTTGACATATATAATTAATCAATTCAGAGCACTTATCAAATGAAACGAAGGGTGAATGTTGGTCATTGTTTCTGATTGATTTTGGCCAAAATAAAAGAATTTTTTTTACATCAACACTAGTGTTTGCAGTTGCCATGGATAATAGTTTACTGCGTGGATAATTGTTCAGATTGAAAGTATTAAGTAATTTATTAGTCAATAAAAATGCGAAGTAAATTAAAAGTTACAGTAATGAAAATCTAGAATATGAAATATATATATATATAGATATTACACAGTACTAAATAATATTGACTATTCTTCATCTATGAATACAACCAGAAAGATTATATTTAGTAATAATATACAAAGTTTTACAATATTTATTTATACAAACAAAAAGTAAATAAAAATCTTTGATATTTTAACATTGTAAATTTTTATAAATCAAAAAAGAATAGTATAGCCCTTTTAACATCGTGTTTTTGTGCAAAAGCAGAAAATAAAGCAAAACCATGGTGAAATCTTTTCCATTTTCAAATAAAAAAAAAACAAAATTTCACTCTAATCAAAAATTAATATAATGAAAAATTGTTTGATTGATTTCATTAAAAATATACCTTTTAGCATGAATAAGCGCACAGAAGAAAATTTTTTTTTTAAAGTTTTCTTTAATGTTATGGCTACGTTCACTCACATTCTAAAGCGTTCTTGCTAATGTACAAAATCTAAAAGCACGATCATAATATTTTTGAGCCTCTAATTCATTATTTTCATCTTCTCGTTTTTCATCACCTAGCTGCTCTGAAAAAAGAGCAAGATCAAAAACAAACTTGATAAGGAGACGAATAACATCATCGAAAATGCCATCAATTTTGATGAATGATCTAGAAAAACGCTGCAACGTAATCAACATATTTGTCTTACAATAAATAAGAATCGAACGAATATTTTTGAATGGATGACTGCGAGTTATAATTTCTTGAGTATTAATCTTTGCTTCAATAATTAGAGAAGCCACTTTTATTGAAGAATTAGTATTCAACCAATCCATTAAGTCTTCGCTTGTAGGAAAAAAAATTAAACTTGTATCTTCAGATATTAAATATTTGTTCAGAGTAGTTCTTAAAGACGATTGTTTTTCACCCAGTAGGAGTACAGTAAGGGTATTGCAAATTACTAGAGCAAACAATTACAAATTAGAAATATATGTGGAAATGTTCATATACACTATTAAAACTAAATTCCTACCATTGTTCTGAATCGAATCAACTAATTTGTATGGTTCAGATAATTGTTCAATTAATTGTTTGTTTTCTTCGAGATTCACATTATAATTGTGTGATGATGTGCGATGATGAGTAACCGTTGATAATTCAACAGTCGATAATGTACCTACTAACGTTGTCATATGAAAGTATAAAATTTGTTTCAGTTGAAATAAAAGTTAAACAAATAATCATCAATAGAACAAAATGGAAAGTCTGAAAATAAATATTAATATAAGATTGTTTGATCATGTAATGTTAACACATAAAAATGAAATAATACTCTTTTTATACAGACTTTGTAAGTAATAATGCTATTATAATAATGACTGGGAATATTCTTAGTGTACTTTCGTAGAATTGGGTTCAAGATGACTTTAGCTGAAAAAAACAATAAATTTTTTCTATACTATAAAAATAATCGAAATATATTATAAGTATGTCAGTAAACTATATGAATGCAATACACTCACGAAGGCATAAGTAATAGATATATTATTTAAACTACCAGCTCATTTTAACAGACTCACTTATGTAAAAAAAATAGTAACACTCTCCATTCATATACTAGTTGAGAAAACATTTTATGTTGGAAAAAACCAACTAAAAATCTAAGTTTCTGTAGTAGAATAGAAAAAGAACAAAGAAAAGACAAAAATATTTCCTTTTTCCTCGATCGCATAATTAATTTCGTAATACAAATAAAAAGTGATGTATCTATGTCGTTGTTAACTTCTTCTTTACTTACGTCAATATTCTTTTCTCTCGGTATGCACCCTAGATTTTATAAAGAAAAACTGCGGCGTTTTTTTATACGATCGTGAAAGCCAATAGAAATAGAGGAGAAAAAAAATCCCAGAATCATTTGAATTAAAAACCTTAGATAGATCATATTGAGAATTGTTTCCTACGTTGATTTTACATTATTATGAATTTTTATCATTTATTAAAATAGTTACAAAAACAAATCCTGATTAATTTTATTAATATATAAATATTTCGATATTAAACACAAAAATGCTGTTACAATATCTAGAAAAAAATAAAATATAATCTTGGATACATGCATAAAAACACATTTCAATTACATAATAATTTAGTCAGTTTGAAAAATATAGGCAGATCTATTTTTAGAGATTCTTGATATTTTTTAGATGAAAGAATAACCTAAGATTTAAACTCTTTTATTTATTAAAAAAATAACAAATTTGAAAATAGTTTCTATTCGATTATCACGGAAATTGGATGTTTTAATATAACTTTTACCAAAAAAACATATTTACTAATTATATTGATTTAGAAGTAATATAGATATATAATATAGACAGATTTTTTTCGAACTTCACTCGACTATAGTGTGTGTATATAAAAAAACATATCGGAAGCGTTCAATTGTATACAGCATAACCCCCTTTAATTTTGTCTGAACGGACTTCGATTCTTATCAGCAATACCTTGAGCTATTCTTCAGCAGTAAAATGAGTCATTTTCATTTCTGATCTTGTTATACAGAGATGTATTGAGTTTTGAAATTCGAGATAACATTTTTTTCAAGATTCTTTACGCATCTTTTTATTCAAAAAAAAAAACAAAGTGAAACTCTTGAAAAAGCACAGACCTACCCATGTAGAAAAAGTTGTGAAAATCATGATTTTTATGAGAAATCCGATGAGAAATCAATTTAAATGGCACGGTTTCAATAGTTTGGTAATCAATTAAGTTGAAATTATCAATTAAAATCCATTAGACTATTGCAAAAAACCGATTATTTTTCTACGAAAAATGAAATATCACTGGATTTTAATCGATTATATTTAACTTAATTGATTTTTTACAACAATATAATGGATTTTAATTGATTATTTCAACTTAATTGATTATCAAGCTATTAAAATCGTGCCATTTAAATCGATTTCTCATCGAATTTTTCAGAAAAATCATGATTTTCACGACTTTTTTTTACATGGGTAGTAACAATGAATTTCAAAAAGCGAAAAAAATGTAAGAAAGACTTAGATGCCATGCACGAATACATAGAAAAAAAAACAAAAATAATGGATGTGACGATATTAAGAAACTGAAAATCTAAAGAGAAAATGTCTCCAAACTTACACAGTTCATCAGTAATGACCAAACTAGCTTTTGAAACAGAATTGAGACGAAAATTTCATTACTCGGAGAGTTTGTTCAATTTCATTACAATGTATTAGCTTAATGAAGCCATTCGATCAATGTTTTCATGAACTGTATCGACATCTTTTTCATCATTTGCTAATTCATTAACACCGGGAATGAATACTAATTCTAAATAGAAAACAATTTTTAAGTATTTTTTGACAAGAAAAATTTTAACTGAAGATACTTTACCTGGTCTTTCACTAATAAAATCCACTTCAACTTTGACAAACATTGTATCATTTTGAACGTATTCATCATATGTTTGTTTAAATATATCAAGTGAAAAAAACTTTGGAATACCACCAGCAATATTCATATTCGTTCTTGGACGCTGAAAAGATGCTAAGTTTACATCAGGCCAAAAACATTTTGATGGACTATCAGATTGTAACTGATTGAGTAAAGTAAATATGATTTTATATTTAAATGGCCAGTGAATAATACCATCATACTCATGACGCATTATTACTAAAAATAATGATAAATGTGTACCACGTGCATTACCATCACCATTTAGATACAATCGTAAACACATTTTATAACGTATTGGAGATGTATAAAATGGTTCAGAATCGATTGACATTTGTCGTTGAGATACAGCATCCACTAGAAAATAAATAATAACTAATAAAAATAAAAGCTTTATTTTATACAGATACTTCTCTTTTCTTGAACATCTGTTATATGCCAAATAAACGAACCATCAATTGAAAGTTGACTATTTGTTGTGACCGATCTGGTTAATCTTTCCTGATATAATGAGTTCTGATTAATTTTTCTGTTAGCCATATCATTAATGGTTGCTTGAAGCGCTTTTTCGGATAAAGAAAATCGCTTTTTAATGCATTCAATGTTATTTTGTACAAGTAAAGTGTCCTTTTGGAATTGTTGTAAATGATATTTTAAAACATTTGCACCATTTGATGAAATCGAGTGTTCATTGATAATTTGATTATTAAGTCTGCTATTATTATTGTCTGTTAAAACCATTGACCGTATACGAGAAAGAAGATTTTCTTGATGAGTATCAGATAAATAATGTTGATTCAAATCATTTCGATTAACCTGAAAAAATATGATTACTTGCAAGTAAGGTTATCAATTATTTATTTACTTGTTGATTACAAATAGGACAGTGTGTAGAATCTCTATGATTCTTTTCAATATGCTCCTAAAAATGATATTATTATAAAAAAGAAAAGAATTAAAACGTCACACCTTAAAAAACGTCAATGGTCCTCTCCATACACATTGTGAACAAGTTTTTAAAAAATGTTGCATATCATTTTTTAAACCCCGATCTAACCAAATCTGAATTAACGAATAGAATGTATTTTTAAAAAAAATTTCAACAAACATACTTTATCATTTTCTATGACATCTGAACATATTGCACAACTAGGAAAATAAAATATTATTTTTTTTAACATCAATAAAAGAAGTATATTTACTTATTATGAGTATATGCACATGATTTACATAAACGATGACCACAGGTAAGTTGATACGGTTCACACAAAACTAACTTACAAGATCCACAAATAAAACGTGGATCAATTTCTTCCATATTTTTCATCCCTGAATCTGATTCAGCTGTCAAATGAATCTTTTTTGGCACCAGTGAATCAGAATAAAAAGAATTTGATCGTTTAGACTGAAGACGTTCCATAACTGACATAGTTGTATCATTTATTGCTTGCCTATCAATGGATCTTGGTGAACTAAGTGCTATTCTAATTTTAATATTTTGCAATTGTTTTTCCAAATCACGTTCAAGATAAAACTGTAGTTTATTATGCTTAAACTGAAAACGATTTTGATCATATTTTAAACTACGGATGTTATCATAATATGCATGAATACGAATTTGATCGGATTTCCCAAGAGGATCTTCTAATATTCTCTCCAGATATTCTCCAGGAATATGCAAATCAAATGTGTCTGTTCGACTAAAATTTTCATATACATAATCAATCAAATCAGAGTCCGTAACAAATGAAATTATAGGTGAATGTTGGTCATTGCTTCTGATTGATTTTGGCCAAAATAAAAGAAATTTTTTTACATCACCACGATTGTTTTCAGTTGCCATCGATAATGGTTCACTGCGTGAATGACTGTTCATACCGAAAGTATTAGATACTTTATTAGTCGATAAAGGTGATAAGTAATTTAAAAGTTTCTAAATAAAAATCTAAAATATGAATTACATATATATATATATATATATTAAGTAGTATTAAACAATATTGACTATTTATCTATGAATAAAACTGGAAAGATTATATTAGTAATAATATATAAAGCTTTACGACATTTATTTACAAGCAAAAAGCAAATAAAAAATCTTCCACATTGTAAATGTGGGAGTTTTTGTAAATCAAAAAAAGAATAGTATAGTCTTTTTAACATCGTGTTTTTGCGTAAAAGCAGAAAATAAAATAAAAACATGACTGAATCTTTCTCATTTTCAAATGAGAGAAAAATAAATTTAGTAAAGAAATGTCTTATGTTATGAATACGTTTACTCACGTTCTAAAACATCCTTGCTAATGTGCAAAATCTAAAAGCACGATCATAATATTTTTGCGCTTCTGATTCATTGTTTTCATCTTCTCGCTTTTGATCGCCTAGTTGTTCTGAAAAAAGAGCAAGATCGAAAACTAATTTGATAAGGAGGCGAGTAACATCATCGAAAATGCCATCAATTTTGATAAAAGATCTAGAAAAACGCTGCAACGTAGTCAACATATTTGGCTTACAATAAATAAGAATTGAACGAATATTTTTAAATGAATGAGTACGAGTTACAATTTCTTGAGTATTAATCTTTGCTTCAATAATTAAAGAAGCCACTTTTACTGAAGAATTAGTATTCAACCAATTCAATAAGTCTTTTCTTGAAGAAAAAAAAATTAAACTTGTATCTTCAGATATTAAATATTTATTTAGTGTAGTTCTTAAAGACGATTGGTTCTCACCCAGTAGGAGTACAGTAAGTGTATTGCAAATTACTAGAGAAAACAATTAGAAATTATAAATATATATGAAAATTTTCATATACACTATTAAAACTAAATTCCTACCATTGTTCTGAATCGAATCAATTAGTTTGGATGGTTCAGATAGTTGCATACATAATTGTTTGTTTTCTTCGAGATTCACATTATAGTTATGTGATGATGTGCGATGATGAGTAACCGTTGATAATTCAACTGTCGATAATGTTTCTGCTAACGTTGTCATATGAAAGTATAAAATTTGTTTCGGTTGAAATAAAAGTTAAACAAATAATCATCAATAGAATAAAATAAAAATAGTCTGAAAATAAATATTAATCAAAGGTTGCTTGATCATGTAATCTTAACAAATAAAAGTGAAATAATACTCTTTTTATACAGACTTTGTGAGTAATAATGTTATTATAATAATAACTGGAGATATTCCTAGTGTACTTCTGTAAAATTGGGTTCAAGATGACTGTAATTGAAAAAAAGAATAAAATATTTCTATACGTTAAAAATAACCGAAATATGTTATAAATATGTCAAAAAGCTTTGTGAGTGCAATACGCTTACGATGCCATAAGTAATAGATATATTGTTTAAACTATCAGCTCATTTTGAAAGACTCACTTATGTAAAAAAAATAGTAACATTGTTCATATATATATATATTAGTTGAGAAAACAATTTATGTTGGAAAATACCAACTAAAAAACTGAGTTTCTGTAGTAGAAAAGAAAAAGAAAAGATAAAAATGTTTCCTTTTCCCTCGATCGCATGATTAGTTTCACAATATAAATGAGAAGTGATGTATATATGTCGTTGTTACGTTCTTTTTTACTTACGTCGAGATTTTTTTCTTTCTGTATGTGCCACAGATTTTATAAAGGAAAAACTCCGCCGTTTTTTTCATACGAGCATAAAAGTCAATAAAAATAGAAAAGAAGAAATATATGACATAATCATTTGAATTAAAAATCTTAGATATATCATATTGAGAATTGTTTCCTACTTCGATTTTGCATCATTATGCATTTTTATCATTTTATTAAAATAGTTACAAAAACAAATCCTGATTAATTTTATTAATACATAAATATTTCAATGTTAAACATAAAAATACTGTTACAATGTCAACAATAAAATAAAATATAATCTTGAATACATGCATAAAAACACATTTCAATTATATAATAATTTTGTCAGTTTGAAAAATATAGGCAGATTTCAGATTTGAAAATAATTTCTGTTCGATTATTACGGAAACTGGATATTTTAATAATAGTTTTTACAAAAAAAAATAGTTACTAATTATATTGATTTAGAGAAAATATAGATATATAATATAGACAGATTTTTTTTACATTTCACTCGACTATGATGTATGTATATAAAAAAAACATATACGTTTTAAAAACATTGTAGACCACCCACCCATCCCAATAACAATGAATATTAACGTAAAACTTAATCAATTTTTCTTTAGAAGAAAAAATTGAATAGAAAACAAGCATTTTAATTCAGTACAAAAGTCCTTAAAAAATATACTGATTATTAAACAATTGATATTTTAATACTGCAGAACAATAATAAAATATCAATGTTAACAAAACGTAGTTGTTTTTGTACTCTTTTAATTAGAAAAATACAGCTCGAAAAATATATGCAAAAATCTATTGGTCACTTATAAATGCTAAAAGGACATGATCAAGATAAGAAAGATAATCTGTCGTTATATTTCATCCATTTATCAGTATCATTACTAACGCTAATCATAATCAATTACGGTATTTCTGTCAAATAAAAGTTTTCAGTAATTTTAGTAACCCAAGATTCTTTGATAGCTCTATGAACTATACTCAGTACTAGTGTAGGATAATAAAAATCTTTCCTTTTCTAACCTACATATTTTCAAACTGACAATTAATCGAATACAATTGTAACAAAAAAATGCGTTAGTAATGAAAGACTTTCCTGGTAGTCTATCAGGTCCAGATTATCGGCATATGTTAAATAGATTGTTGTACATCACAATCGTATAGCTTTATATTCCAATTAAACGGCTTAATTCATCATCAGGTCCACCAGTGTGTGGCTGATCGCTTGGCTTCTCACCTAAACCATTCGCTAAACATAAAGATAAAAAACAATCAGAATAAATTATCTTTTGATATAAAGATCATACTTGGTATTTCAGTTGAAATTTCAAATTGAATTTGAAAAAACATTGTATCATCATGAATAAATTTATTTTGATTCTTTTTCAATTCCTCTAAGGAAAAACATTGTGAAATTCCATATGGAAGATTCCAACTCAATTTTGGATAGCCAAAACATATTTCTGCTGTATCAGGCCAGCAGAATTGACTAATATGATGTTTTTCATCATGTTCGATTGATTGATCAATCAAAGAAAATGTCACTTTTAAGGAAAATGGCCAACGAAGATCTTCATCATATTCACCAGGCATAAGCACAAGAAACATTGACATATGTGTATTTCGTCCTTTTTGATCTCCATTGAAATATAATCTGAAGCAGATTTTATAACCATGTCGATATAAATAAAATGGAGGTGAATAAATCGAATTAATTTCTCCAGAAATACCCTTCTCTAATAAAGATAATACAAAAGATAGAATTTTGAAAAAAATGATGTTTTTTACATACTTAACATTTGATCTATGTTCAGAATTTTCCATAAGCATGTGCCATTTAAAGACGAAAAATCATAAACATTTCCAATTGCCTGAAAATAGTAGTGAAAGATTGTTCAATATAAAGAATATTATTAATAAAATATATACTTGTTGATTTTCAATAAGACACGTGATTAAATCAAGATGATTTTGTTTAAAATGTTCCTAAAAATAATATGAAATATATCATATATTTTGAAAAAATCTCATACGGAATATTCTTTGAACTTTCCCTTCCATTCACAACCAAAACATTCAGTAGGTTTAGAGTATAGCTTTATTTGTAATTCTGAATTGAATGAAACCTGAACAAAAGAAATAGGATGGTATAAGATTGTAGTACAATTCTATTGTTAATGCATACTTCATTGTGCGAAATAGTTGTTTGACATATTGCACAACTAATAGTACGAAGAAATAGATATTATTTTGGATCAAATAAAAAGATTTACCTTTCTCGCGTATTTAAACACCCTTCACATAAATAATGTTCACATTCTAATTGATAAGGTTTTTCATTAATTAATGCACACGATTGACAAATGAAATTTGAAGTAAAATCATTAATATTTTTCACAGGTAAACCATGAAGAGGATTCGTAGGTAATTGATTTAAAGCGAATGAAAGTCGATTGAATATGGTTCGTCTTGTGGGATCAAGTCGATCTTTATTTAATGATAGAAGAGCTTCTTTTATGCTTTGATCGATGGAATCTAGCGAACCAAATATTACATCTAATTCAGGTTCTCTTGGCCACTTTAAAAGATCATCTATTGTATAGAATTTGACCTTGTCAGTTATTGGTGTAACACGTAGTTGCATTTCATTTACATCGTCAATAGTATCACAGATAACCAAAATATATTTAACTTGTGGAAACTGAAAAACAGGATCATTTTTTAAGCATTCAAAACAATCAAGTGTAATCATTAAACACATCGTATTTGATTTGAAGATATTTTTTGATACATATTGACATAATCCAAGCCCCGTCGAAAACTGTCTTGTAAATAAAGATCCTATGGCGCCTGAAACACGCACTGGCCACACCAATAAACGTTCCATGACACGCGCTTCACGAACGAGAGACGACATATCAAAAAATGTTGTAATAAAGATATACCACGATGAAAAGTCAAGGACACGTTATGTTCTAAAATAATAAAAATTATCAAATTCGATTCAAAGAAAGAAAAAACATATTTATCAATAAAAAAATGTTTTTTTAAACCATGTAAAAAGATAAGCTGACTAAACAGACTTTTTACTTCGTCAATTCGTTGCGACCATTCGAGCTGATAAATATGACAAACATATTATATTATTACTGTCGTACGATTATAAATAGATACTTTATCTTTACTTGAAAAGTAGAGCGGAATAAAGCTATAAAGCCACCCCTAATTTATATTATATATCAAAATCAAAATACCGTCAAGAAGCTAAATCGTCTTCATGCATATTTTCGAATGTCTTGTGGTAAATCAGTAATTTCAAAACAAGTTTGTCTTACGCAATATTGAAAGAAAAACATGCGCTCCTCTTTCACCCTTCGACTCGTAAAAGTTGCATATTAGTCAGCTATATACTTTCTTGAGTTACTTGAAAAACGCTGAAAGGCAATATATTTTGAAATGGACAAATACTATCAACATGTCTATACGAAATAATCTCATTATATATATATAAAACAAAAAATAATTTTATTCTTCGATGACGTAGATTAGTGTAATTTAATATAGAAATCAAATAGATTTCACATTAGTTACTGTTTGAATTATTTCAAAAACCAGACATAGCAACATTTATTTGTTGATAGTCAAAAGAAATTATACGTCATTAAAATAAAACACAGTAACGTATGAAATAGAAGAAAAAAAAGACTCTTTGATTCTTTACGCTTCGCGTGCGGTTGAAGGACGCAAAAAAAAATAAATATTTTTTTTTCTTCGAGCTCTTCTCACGTATCTTATTTGGTTAACAAATATAAAATACTTTTAAAATTATTTAAAACAAAAATAGAGTACTACTATTGTATGTAATAAAGATAAAAAAACAATAAATAACATTCTAATGTTCGATTAATATGATATACACGATCGAAATTTACAATTTGTTTTGATAAGACAAGTATCAATTAGAAAATTTAAATCTCAACCAAACATTATCTGCATGTATATATATAAATTGAATACTCACAGAAGTATCTATCGTATATTTCTCGATAGACGAGAAATAAAACTGGATAATTAAAGTTTTTAGTAATTCTCTACATTGAAGAAAAAGAATTGAGTAATAAATATACGTCATTTGTTTTTCTCTTTGATTCTATAGTTTACATCTAATTATATTCATTTTTTTATTACTCATTGAAAAAATAATTAATATTTAGAAATAAATTAATCTCTTGAAGCTCATATCTAATATTGACTAAAAATCAAATTTGTATCGTTACTTAATAATTAGATTGAATATTAGTTGTATATATATGTCTTGATTATACTATGTATGCGCATTGAAATATTTTTCAAATACATTTAAGTATTACGTGTCATTAAATACTGATGTATTTGATTATTACTTAAGTTATAAAAGGTATTGTTCGATACAAAATATTAATTAATAATCTCACAGGTTTTTAATTAATAAAACATATTGATATGTAATTTTGTTGTAACTATAGAAATTATAATAATCTTACTCGAATTGTCAGAATTCATATAACATCTTCCAGGTACTCTGATAATCGATCAACATATAAACCACATAGCTTGATATATTCGTAGAAAAAAACAACGATTATTCATCGAAAGATATTATCATGTAAAAAGAAAATAGGCATGCCTGTGCTTTCATCGGCATTGGTCGTTAGAATAGGTAAATCAGAAAATATGTATCAGTAAATGCATAGATGGAGTATTATTTAATAATTATCAATTAAAGTCATTTTTTAATGAAATTAAAGATCTGCTATAGCAATTTATATTGATCATGATTGAATTAGAGAAAAATAAATATTTTATTTGTTAGTTTGTACAGAATTGAACAATAAACTGATAAAAAATATTTTAATTTCTGTATTATATAAAAACAAGTAAAGAAATGTCCAAAAATCTCTGATATACATTTAAAATAGTTTCTGTTTGTTAGATGATACTATACTGGATGGATCACAAGTCACGATATAGAATATTTTTTCGATGTTTATCTTAGAAATAGTCGGGTAGATCTCATATTTATATCACATATGAGGAAGACGATATATTTATGGATGCTTTTGAACAAATTACTCTATCAAAATTATCTTAAGGATGTCAATGTCTCTTGTCTCTAACCCCATACTCACCCATTTTTACTTGTTTTATATGGCTGAACTGTTGTTCAACCTTGGACTAATGAAACAAAGAATTATCATGGCTATCTTAGTTGTTTCATTGTCTATCAATCAAATGAGAATTTATTGACATATGGTCTACATCTATCAAAGCACATTCGAACATATATTAATTCTACACATATTTCTATTTTTTCATTCTAAGTTCTTCACTAATTTAAATGGCTTTTTAACGATACATTTCATACACAAATGATATCATCACAAATAGATAGCGTATGAGCTGCAAAATATATTTCTCAAGGTAATTTCCTCTAACATTTTTTGTTCTTTAAGTCCTTGATTTGATTATTATTTTTTTCTTTTCTATCGCTTTTAATAACATGCAAAACCAACAGATAGAACAGGAATAGCAAGCAAGGTATATAGTTTTTTTTCTCATTCTGAAAATATAAAACTACAAAAGATAATGAAATCTCATTTTCACTTGTGCATATAAGTGAAACCAATGATTAGATTCGTGATTGCATGAAAGTCTTGCCGGCACGAAGTATATAATGGACGAAGTCTCACAATGTATTGAAGATGAATGTGGTCTTGGGTAGGCGTGGAGATATAGACAGAATGCATACCCACACCCGCTCTCAAGATTTTGATACCAAGACAAAGAAATTCTTTGTATTCTACGAGTTGTCTCAATGAGTTAGTTACTCATTTTTTTGTTGGGTTTGTTCAAAATATGTATGTGACTAAGATTCTTGATTGTTTTAAATGGACATTTTATTCAGAGTTCTAAATAAGTTTGAAGTGGTAATACAATTTGAGATTAGTGACAAACAAGCAATACAAAAGCACTTGAACAACTAAGCAACGCAATAAACACAATAAGCGACAGAAAAAAAGAAAAGACTACGGAAGAGTTGATAAAGTCAAATACCCTCTCATCATCTCTATCTTGCTCTTCTGCAAAGTACTTGCGACATAAAAAAATAGAATATTGTTATAGAATTAATTACGAAAAGCTTTCTAACTAGTTTGAGATAAGTAAATATCGTTTTTATAGTTTTTGTTTTCTTAAAAGTAAATGTTTTCTGAGAATATTTATGCAATAAGAATAGCTCACAAAAGTCATTGGTGGATGGATGTACTTGTCTCAAGAGTCTTATTTGGATAGCATTGACCTGTATTCAAGAGCATATATAAAAATCCGTACGATTGGTCCATAATAACTACGTCTTGATAACCATCACCATTAAAATCACCAGCAATAGATGATATCGAAGTACCACCGTCTCCAAACGTCATTATTATTTGCCGCTCAAAATTCTCATTTTCATTCCCAACGAAAACAGCTATCGATGAACTACCTGTACCAACAATAATGTCCATGTAACCATCACCATTAAAATCGCCGACGCCAACTGCTGCGTATAGTATAGTACTTCCTCGGACCAACTTGGCTTTCGACTCCAAAGTACCATTATCAAATCCAAATAATACACTTATCATGTTATCAGTATCATATGATACAGCGACGTCGAGTCGATCGTCACTGTTGAAATCGGCAATCTTGAAATCTTTTGGATGGTAATAACCACCGGTGAAAGACGTTTGCTGTGCTTGAAAAGATCCATTACCGTACCCAAGAAATATACCAACATTTCTACCATAATAATTGAGAACAGCAATATCTTTATAACCATCACTGTTAAAGTCTGCGGCAGCGATCGCATTCGGATAACTGCTACGTCCAGTATATAATGTTATTTGTGCTACAAAGGTTTGTTTACCATCTCCGAAAAACACACGAACATTATTTTGGTATTCGTTAGCAACAGCAATATCTAAGTAAGTGTCACCATTGAAATCAGCTACAGTAATTCCTTGCAAAAAACTATCATTTCCTACTGATAAAGTCTTTACTGATCCAAAAGTTCCGTTTCCATTCCCGAATACAATATTCACGGTGTTTGCATATTGATCAACAAAAGCGAGATCAATTATATTATCATTGTTTAAATCACCAGAAGCAATACTACTCAAAATATTAAGGCTTCCTTGCAGTAACATCCACTGTACTATAAAATTATCGTTCCCATTTCCAAGCAATACATTCACAGCATTGGGATTTGTAGAGAGAAAAACGAGATCGAGTCGACTGTCATTGTTGAAATCGGCAACAATGGGTGATGATCGTTGTACAGGATTAGACCAATTTCCATCATATATTACTATTAGTTGAAATTCCAACTGACAAATGGGTACTAAAAAGGATAAAGTCACGGAGTAATCATTGGAGCTCAATTTTACAATAATTGGGAAAGAATTCATAAGACGAAGAGTGTGGTTGTGGGTCTCATAGTTCATCATATTTCACACTCTCACACGATTTTCTACAAGATATTTACTAAAAAGTATTGTTAGTTTGATTTTATTTCGACAAACGACGAAATTTTCTGCTGAATTGATCTATAAAAGTTCGCAGAAACCATTATTAAAAATTCTGACAGAAAATTCGAATTTGTGGGAGCGGAAGTCTCTTTCTATTCCTCCTATGATCGGAAATGCTTAATGTGTTAATTGAGTTTTATAATAAAAAAGTTTGTTGTGTAAATTACAACTAAAAAAATATATTTTTTCCAGAATTAACATGTCAGAAATTGATCACTTCTATCTTTAACTTATGCGAAAGACTATATATATCAGAAAATAGAAGTAGTTTAAATATACTGACTGTTTTCAGTTGAACTAGTTGTTGTTGTACTTGTCGTCGTTTGTGTACTGGTACTGGTTATCGCAGCTGTCGAGGATTCTAATAAAGACATAGATGATGCATACAAAAACGTAGATATAAAGGAAATTCTAAGCAGGAATATAACCCAAACATAGTCAGTGTTTCTTTCGTACAATCAGAATAGTTCATTGCGGGAAATTGATGAAAACTTACTATATATTAAATGCAATACCCCAAACGGAACATTCCCTTTAAGCAGATTTTTAATCAAAAACATCGTTTTCAGACAAAGCTTCACAAAATATGTTTTAATAATGACTTCGATAAGTTTTGACTTTTGTGTGAAACACGATCTAAAAAGAGTGTTGCGGCGTATAAGAGTGAAAATTTGGATCCACTACTCACGACAGCCGACAGAAAATAATGTCGCAAGGAACCGATAGAATTACCGTAACTAATACTTTGGGTATTTTATATAATTATAGTTTCGAATCACAGTCGTTTTTCAGAATTCTGTTTGTGTCGAATTTTTAGCTTATATTTTATTTTATATCTGATGAAAGTATTTATTCTTAAATATTCGTCGTTATATCATCTTATAGATCAAATGTAGCGACATTTAGTGAAACAATTATTAAAGAATCCTACTTGTTAATACGACTTCATTCTTTCCTTGTCGAGCGATATAAATAGAATATATGATGAGAGCCATTATTAGAAACAACAACAGTATACATCCTAAGCCGATTTTCAAAAAACATTGGCTTGGTGAAACCAACCTTGTTCTAATAAAGAGAATTATAAACTATGAATCAAATAAAAAGAAAGACAGCGTACTGAGATGTTTTAGTCATTGGAGTTGATTGTTCACCATTAGTAGGATTCCCGATGTCTGTTTGAATATGATCAGCGACTGTGATTTCAAGGGAACTGACAGGTTGAACAATGTTCGTGCGTTTCTTTCGATGTTGATATACTTTCTCTACAATTTGAAGTATTTTAGGACAGATCCATTTGAGAACAATTGTGAGACCACCTTGAAGACCAAGCAGAAGGGTTATTGTATACAATAAGTTAAATTGTTGGCTGTAGGTATACGAGCACAGTAAGGGTGAACATTGCTGATAATAAGATGAATAATTAATTGTTGTTACCCATTGCTCAATGAATAGTTCATTTATAAGTTCGGCCACGCTGGTGTTTATAGAGAATCGACTTATATTTGCCGAAAGAGAAATAGGAGCGCTTGTCGAATTAATATTACTTGTATAATTAGTATATTGTTGAATAAGATTAATACATGACTGATTATAGAAACATTCGAGAGTCGACAAGCGAAAAGATTCACTTGGTGTGCAGCCTATTTTCAAACCTTTGATAAGAATGGTGTCAGAGGAATTGATTCCGATAAAGCTTGCTTGACTAGTGCAATTTGAATACAACCCACAGGAACATTCATTGTCATACATTATAGGTTTAGTCATAAGATAATAGTAGGCACTAGGCGAAGGTAAAACATACTGGAAATTCGTTCCATAGCTTGATATAATAGCATTGCCATCATTTATACTTCGCGTTAAGAAAGAAATACGAGCGAAATTTGTAGGGGCAAGTGATTTCCTCTGGTTAATCAATAAATCAATGCTTTCATGAAAATCTGTTTCGGACAGAAGTTGAGTAGTGACGAGTAGTGAAGAATAGAGTTGATTCACAGAATCGTTCACCAAGTTCATGGAAAGTTGACATAATCCAGTAAGAAATTGTAAATGAGCAGAGAGAAAACGACGATAATCTCTTTGTTCGTATTCAGTAAGATTAGGAACAAGACCAGCTGTGAGATTTATTCGCCACTGATCCGAGGCAAATGGACTTGAACATATCTATAGGTAATAAAGAAAAAGAGAAAGAGAATGAATTTCATTGTTAACTCTCTTTTAAAAATTTAGAGATGGAACTATGACAAAGTATGCATGTTTTCATTTTCAGTAGGTTAGAATTAATCTATTCTTACCTCATGAAATAGTGGTTGAATTTTGACAAATTGATCATATGTTGATGCAATCAATGAACATGAACATTTTAATTTATCACCATAATGTTCATTGAGTTGATGATATAAATCGAAAGATGGTCTATTAAAAGTTTTAGTCAGACTTTGTGGTTGAACAAGATTGTATAAGGCAAGAATAGCGAGACCAGTGATGAGCAGACCTATGTAGAGACGAGTAGACCATCGGCCAAGACGCTTAGCTGTTCCCTGATCAACACTACTGCCAAAATCTCGTAGAGGAAATATATTTAGACCAATCGACTGGGTGTACACAAGATTGATCAATTTTCGACTTATCATTTTCAATCGATCGAACCACTTGCGACGAACTATGTACAAAAAGACAAATTCTATATTCTCTCTGATCATGATATAAGTACAAAGCTTAAGTTGCTCAGATCAAAACTTTTTTAAATAGATCACAACAATAAGTAATATTAATATAAGTAAAATCAGTGAGACACACTCTTTCGTATTTGAAAGTTCATTCTACTGTATTTAGATTCTCATCATAGAAATCTCATCTATCAACCCACGTCAATCAGACCCAGTCGTATATCAATGAATTACAACAGAATACGATAGCCGATCACTTTACTCGCTTACATCAATCATAAGTACGCCGGCAACGATCGTTAACGTTGACAATTCATTTTTATATTTTAAACCAATTCTAAGATAGGTGATTTGAAGTTATCTTATATTGTATCGATATGTTCTCACACTCCTCAAGACCGTGAGTATAAAGAGTTTTCATAGGTTAATATTCACCATAGCTAATTAGAGTTGTCTTAAATGGATATTTAAGAATTTAAAACCGACGAAAAATCCGAAGAACGATTGCAAAAATAAAGATGTTTTTTGAGAACTTACAATCAAGAAAGTTTACCTCGATAGCTGTTTGAGTGAAAGTAAAAATCTTAGAAAAATCTCATAATAGAGATATCTTTAGGATAAAAAATTCTATTGATGAGAAAATTCTTGAAAAGTTTTTTGCTAAGATTTCAAATTCCTCAATATGAGTTTTAATCAGCGGTTTACGCAGAGTTACGGTGCTATACGACCATTTATATAACGTAAACGATTGTAAACTATCGTTTACGACAACTGTAAACATGGACCTCGAATTAATCGCAAATGTGTTAGAAGATCTCAATTGTCAGGTTTTACTAAAAGTTAGAAAACATGAAGAAAATATATTTTCTTGCACATCATATAGAAATTCGATCGTAAAAACACAACTTTATCATGTCAAAATAATTAATTTATAGACAAAAAATCAACAACTACCTCGTTGTTGTTCTTGTTGTTGGTGTCTTTTGTTAATAATTCCTAATAAGCCAATTAAACACTTTACAAGTTGAGGTGTAATGACACGTAAGGAGACAATAAGACCACCAATTAACGACACCAATGTTACTGCTACCTCAAAGATGGCTCTCCTTTGGCCTTTTTGAGAATAAGTACAATAATTTGGTGCACATAATTCATAAAAACGTTCATATGAAGTAGATGGATTCCATTGTTCGATCATAATGTCTTTAACGATTATTTCAATTGAGGTATTTGGAGGAAAACGACTCGATGTCGGGTCATAAATGAGTGGACGTGGATCAAACCACAATGGATCTGAAACAGCGTCAATATACGTTTGTTGGATGAAACTCATTACAACTGGAAAACAATCCGAATCAGAATAGAAACATTGAAGCGTCGAAAGTTGAAGAGAATCAATAGGGGAGCAGCCAACTCTCGATCCTGGAACTACATAAGTGATTTCAGGTTCGAAATAATCAGCGTCAATATATTCATTAAAGTAGATAGAGACTGGATCTTTACATTGAGAATTTGTCGCGCAAATACAGTTGATGTTGCTCGTATTGATATCAACAGGTCCGGTCAAAAGAAATGTTATCTAAACAAATAGAACTTTGAGCCATCTCGATAGTTTCTTTCATGAAAAAGGCAGGTGTCTTTGAATTAGCTCAAAGATAACCTAACTTGTAAAGCTTCATCAGTTGTATTTACAGTACAAAAAAATAAGATTAAGAAAAAATTAAAAATTTTTCTCGTCACTTTTTTCTTATTCAATCGACAAAAATCGTTTCGAACTATATATTTTTGTTCCTCATCAATTTGTGCATCAGCGCACATATATCTTTTAAATTTTTATCGATCTATTAAAAGTTTTTCTTCGACTATAGTAATAATCTCTGATACCCACATTGAGTTCCTAGTAACTTAATTAATATCTAGTCCATGGTTTCCTGTCTTAGTGAATTTTGTGGAAAAGACTTTGCTCTATCAAACTCTATACATATGCTTCCTACCCTTCCCAAAAACAAACGGTTATAGTGCATATTTCACCTAAATCGTTACCGTTCGTGAGGGTGGGTGAGTGTGGGTGTGGATGATGCATAGTTAACCCACACCCATCCACACTCACACCCTCAAGATGAAAAAATGCAAAGGAAAATGCATATGTAGAGAGTGTTAGAAAACTCCACGCGCTTACAGAATATATCATTATTATTTTTCAAATATAGTTTTATATTAACGATTTAGCTGAAATACGGACTACAATTAGTTTTTTTCAAGAGTAAAGAATACATTTTAACTTTAGCAAAGGACAATCATCATTCTGAAGAGTCAATATTCACCTTCAGTTAGGTATCTACCTCAACTGTTTATCTTTTCCATTTGATGATAAGAGATTTAATTAAATTTGTAGACAAACCTCGAAAAAAGAAATTCTCAAAGCTCCTGGACATACCTGTATTGGTAAGTTTATTAGCATTCCATTCCCTGTTATATTTGCACCTAAGCTTGGAGCAAATCCACTTAAACCAGATTGTACTGATCCCATAAAAGGTTGATCAACTTGCATAAGAAGTTGTACTATGTCGACGAGAAATCCAAAATTGACAATTGTCGATCGAAAAAGTTGATTGAAAGTTGCATTTAGTTGTGTATTTAAATTGTCTTCACTTAAGACAGTTGAAGCGACAAATGATTGCAGAAGAAACCGATGAACAGAATCATATATCGTGTTATTAGCCAGTTGGCAAAGATCCGACAATAAAGAAAATTGTGGCCCAATTGTCGTACGCCAATCAGTTGTCATATAAACATTAGTACTATCAGTCAATATTGACAGCCACCGGTCGTCTACAAAATCACTTGAACACACTTGATGCAAGATGGGCGCAAATGATACGAATTTTTGATAAGGTATTGCTACAGTTGAACAAGGACATTTGAGTGTATCCGAATGCAAGACTGATAAGTCTTTGTAAGTGGTTAATGATGGCGTCGGTACTGATATGGTAATCGTTTGGGTGTTTAGTGAAGTGAAGAGAAGAAGAACGAATAACGACCCTAATAATACAAAGAAAAACATTGATGCGCTAATAGCGACAGATCATCTTGAGGGTGGGTGTGAATGTGCGTGTGGACCCGATATCAATGTATAATACTAACACTCACCCACCCACACTCACCCTCAAGATATTGTTCCATCAACACTATTCCTGTAGAATTTTGTCAGTCTTACAGAAATTTCAATAGGATCCGACTGTTGGAATGATTCTCCTGAGTTGTTTCTCAGTAACGGAACGAGAAACTATTACTCTTAATTAGCAAATACACGTATTTTTGTCTTTAGAAATAGGATAGAAATGCGCAGTGAAATCAATCATACCAGTCAATAAAAATAAATAGACACGTGTGATAATCTTCTGTTGTTTGATACTGCTTTCGTGTCGGTCATCAGCCGCCTTAAACAAATTCAATTGCTTCATTGTTTGCGAAAATCTGCTTACAAGTGTGCTCTGAGACGCTAAAAATCATTTTAAACAAAATAATTTAGGGTGAACGTTTTCTTAGTATATTCAAGACATACCCAAATTAATATTTATGTTTCTCGAACGATGTCTGATTTTTGCTAAGATGTTAATCAGGAATGGTGCAATCAAACGAAATATGATAATAAGACCACCATATAGACTAATGAATAGAGTAATCGCATAAGATAAGTTAGTCTGATCTGTTGTAGTGTATGTGCAGTATGAAGGAGCACATCCATCGAAGTATTTTGAATAATTCATTTGTGTTAACCAATTGTCGACGAAAATATTATTTAAATAATCGTACACAGAATCATTTTGGTGTTTCAACGGTAGAACAGAATTGGTCCAGTTGACTTGGATCTAAATAAAAGAAATATATAAGACTGATTGAATAATATTATACATACTTGATTAAGAGATGGAAAGTAGTTGAGCAAGAATTGAACACATATGACGTCATACAAACAATCGAGTGTGCTTTGAAGAATACTTTCAAGAGGAGTACATCCTGCAAAGAATCCGTCAACCATTGTAGTGTTAAAACGAGGGAAATCCCAAAATTGAAGCCTTAAATAATACGGTGCTACTGGCTCCGAAGAGAAAAACGTTTCAGTTGACGGATTTGCATTAGTACAACCATGATAGGAGCCGACACTAGCCATTGGATCAGATACTGTTGGAAATCCGAACAATTGATATGAGCCTGGGAATTGTATAATTGTCATTATTGCATTTGTGTTGAGAGCCGTAATTAAGTGGTTTGCTCGAGTCGTAATTCTGGTATAATTCAAGAATGAAATGATTCCAGTAGAAGCACTGTTTTTCAAGAATTCGACATTGGCATGCACTTCAGATTGAACTTGCACTTCAGGAAGAAGAGAAATAGTGAGAAACTCATTGTTGTCAATATTATTCTGATTGCTCAAGACTGTTTCTTGTGAAAGTGAACAAAGACTGGCCAAAATTTTGAACTAAATGAAGGTAAAGTCAATTAAAATAATTATTTTTGAATTTCATTACTGAGGATAGGATATGTGATGTACTGAACACAATTAATAAGAAAATAGGTTAGCGTGAGAATAGAGATACAGGGGTATAACACACATTGGGAATGACAGACGTAGGTGTATTCACCATAAACAGTGACATTCATAGCACAATTGTATGCTGAACTTATAAATTTCAACATTTGAACGGTTTCAAACTCGAAACGAATTGTACACTATTATAGTTTTCCAACAAACTGGCTTGTTGAGGGATCTCATGAGTGAAAAATTCAGAGGTGTATTGACTGACATGAGTATCGAATAAAACAGCGCTTGGATTGGGTTGAAGTGTTGAAGTATATGGAAATTATGTGTATAGTGTAGGCAAAATAAATGAGCCGAGAACGAATGGAAATAATATAGGACAATCATTGAGCGACTTTGCGGTTTGATGCGGGCAAAGAAAATACTCAACACATGTAGGCCAAAAAAGGGCAAATAGGTATTCGTTCACTTTAACATGTGCACAGAAGTCGAAACAGTATGTATGTCAATATCTTTGCCTAAGAAAAATATTATTTGAGGTATATAAGAAGACGAAATGATTTGGCCAATACTCGACTCAATTTCGATCTATGTTTCATATACATTTGACGATCTTAGTGTGAAATAGGAAAAAAATAGACTAACATTTATATCTCGCTTCTTCTTATAGTATATTGCACAAAATTTCTATTAGTTATTAAACTTATGAATTTAACAAAAACTAGTCCACTAATAGTGAAGTTTTATTTAGAAAAAATATTTTAGCAGTTTTCAACTTTTTTTTTTTAATATGCAATACCCATTGAAATTTATGTCGATCCTAATTGATAATACTGTTTTAATTAGTTATAAAAATTTATTCATTGGATTTCTGTTACATAAGTCACTTTGTCCTACTATGTGACATGTATACATAAGTTATGAAATTACACAATAATAACTTTCTTATCGAAAGGCGTATAGTAATCTGTTGGATAAAGTAGAAAAATAGATTTATTTTAAATATTTAAAGAATTAAGCTCGACATGTCAACTCATAATTTTGAGCTCAGTTATGCATCTATATTTCATCAAATACTATTTGAAACTAGGAGATTGCTTGAAAAAGTTTCTGATCCAGTACCGAATGATTTTATCTTGGAATCGGAAGGGCCATTCTCCGAACAGAACAAAAGCACTCAGCGCACGCGGTAGTACTATTTCCAGAATACAACAAGAATGTTCTGTTATTGGGACTTTAGTGCTCTAGTTAGTGCGAATTAGTTGAATATTAATTAATTATCTACTTTATTGGCACATAAAGTGAACAGTATATGGCTTAAATTGATGGAAGATAAGTATCTACTATAAGTTCTCAATTGCGAATATAAACTGTAATTTTAAACAAAATTCTAAACTTGAATTGTTGTGAACTGACACTTTTTCAATCCGTAGAGCGATACACTCCAATCGAACTGTCTTCGATGAAGAACAATATTTGGTCGAGAGAAAATATTTGACTTACTTGAGAATTAGCCTGTGTTCGAAAATCCGTCACTCCATATGTGCTTGCGTCTTCCAAATAAAGGGCGTCAATCCATTGTTGACTGACGAAAATACTCGTACAAACAGAATGAAATGTGATTGTGTTCGAAACGAAATCTTTGTAAGGTATTGCGTTTGTCGAACATGGACACGAGAGAGTTTCACCATGTTCACGATAAAGTTGATTGAAGATGATAGGAGTAACAGCCGAGATAATCACTGTTTGGGATTCTGACTTCATCAAGGCAGTGTAGAGAAGGACATAGAATGACACTGAAAATAAATTAAAATAAATTAAAATTCTCATAAATCAGGATGTTTTCAGTGACTTCCAGTCACTTTTATGTTCTTATCTATCGAAAACGAGCGAAAATCAATAGAAAAAACTCTGAGACATTCGATCCGGAATACTACTTCCATGTCGTGTTGGTTTCGGCACTTTCATGCATCTTTACGGTCGGTTCTAGTGATATACGCTCATTTCTGTAGGTCCGAACCATCGATCTGAGTTCTTATTTGAAATTCATCGAAAAATAAATGCGTTTAAATTTAGTTTAGTTAAACAACGCACTATCGAGGTTCATTTTACTAAAACTCGGAGAATGACTTCATGCCATTCTCTATACATTTATCTAACAAAAATAAGCGGGACCAAACTGAGTTCCATACTAGAAATCACAGAAATCAGGAAATCAGCTTCTTCCCCCTTGGTCAATAGTCAGCAGATTTGTAATTCAAGTAAAATAATGTTTGAATGAACAACTGTCAAGTGTGATGAATAAGTTGAATACTGTAAAAAAAACTGTTACCGCGATTCCTGTGAGATTAAGATGTGAAACACGAAATAGCTATTGCTACTATAGTAGCAAAATGTCTTTATTAAGTCAAACCTATATATACGGTGTGAGTGTGGGTGAAATGGGGTGAATGTGGGCAGAATAAAGTGATGGTGGGTGGAATAGGGTGGGTGTGGGTGAAAATGAGCCGAGTGGGTGGAATAGAGAGGAGATGAGTGAAAATGAGCTGGGTGTGTGGAATAGGGTTGGGGTGGGTTGAATGAGGTTGGTGCGGGTGATATAGGGTGGGTGTGGGTGAAAATTGGCTGGGTGCGTGTAATAGGGTAGGTGTGTGCGTGGTTGTGAGGTGTATGTGGGATGGGTGTTTTGTTGTTATTCATTACGGATACCGATACTCACACCCTTCCCTTCATGTACATCCACTTTCACACACACATTCGAGGGTGAAGTGAGTCGATATGACCGACGTTACTTGTGAATTAATATTGTCCTAAACCTTGTGATTTTGCTTATAAACTCATGGATTACCTTTCGGTAATTTAGAAATATAGAAAATAAACCTCGTCTTTACAATTATATCCGTCATAATAAGCGATGACGGGGGGAGAGGGACGACATCGGTAAAATATTCGAGAAGATCCCTAATAGTGTTGTTGATCTATCTGGTAAGGTCTGTAACAGGATATTGCCAAGGTATCTGTTACGGTCAGTGGGGAGTAGGTACAGTCTTTTTACTCCTATATTCCAACATTCCCTTTAGTTCGTGTTTCACAAAAGAAATACGCAAGAACCTGAAGCAGTTTAAAAAAGCTTGTCAGTGCAGTTCTTTTAGAGCTATGATGTGGAAGTTATATGGTCTATAACGTAAGAAGAATCTGACTCGAAGGAATTCTTCGATTACTACAAAAATCTATAGCATAAAGTT